CTCACTGATATGTGTCAAAACCATTTGCACCCGTTACAATCTGTATGTTTCTACTCTGCAATACATCCAACTCTAAAATAAGTATTAGTATTCCCTCCATCCACAAAAGAATGCAATTCTCGCTTTTCGGGAAGTCAAGCCATTTAAATTTTGACTGAATTTATATAAAAAATACTAACATTCAAGATACAAAACAAGTATCATTAAGTTAGTTATAGAATATATTTTTATAATAAATTTATTTAAAGACATAAATATTAATACTATTTACTATAAACTTGGTCAGACTTGTACTAGTTTGACCGGCACGTTTCTCATAATTGTATTCTTTTACGGACAAAGGGAGTATCTCGATGATTTATGGCTTGATTGGTTGGCTACCAAAAATTTGTCGTGCCTAAGATTTGGCAAGAAAAAAGGTCAAAACTTGGACTAAAATATTTGCCATGGATTTGGCACGCCAATTGTGAGGTATTGGTAAATTTTGGTACCAAACTAAATGGTTGCTAAATTTTTGGCTTGCCTTAGTTTTGGCAACAAAATTTTGGCAACCAACCAATCACGCTCTCATTTTGCATATATGCCTCGCGTCCTGGACCAAATATCTTGCCATAAGCTATTCGTCTACTCATTTAGAGGTAAGCTTCTAAGAATACTAGGTAGCGTGTTCATGCGTTGCTACGGGACAACTAAATCTTTTATACTAAAAACACACGGATCGCACGATAAGATAACAATACTGTTAAATTAAATACCAACGTCAAAGTGATATTTAATTTAAAAGTCAAAGTTCGTGAAATTAACACAGTCACGGAGAACGCGACGTCGCAGGCTCACAAACTCTACTGTATAGACTTTTTCGTGATACGGCTAAGATAATATTTTATATCGGCAAAAAGAATTCTACGATATCCATTTCTTTCATGCGTCAATAAATCCATGAATAAGTTCCGCTGAATCTCCATATAATCATGTACACACATGTTTGAGTATATATGCAAATAAGTTCGTGCCCGTGCGTTGCTACGGGACAGCTAAATTTTTATACTAAAAACACACGGATCGTACGATAATATAACAATACTTTAAAAGTATATGATCAACGTTAAAGTGACACTTAATCCAAAAAACTAAGTTCGTGAAATTTACATAGTCATAGAGAGTGTGGCGTTGCAGGCTCACAAACTCTACTGTGTAGATCTTTCCGTGATGTGGCTAAGATCATTTTTATACCGGCAGGAAGAGATTTTCGATATCTATTTCTTTTGTGCGCCAATGAATCCACGAATAAATTTCACCACATCTCCATACCATCTTGTACACGGCGCTGGCAAGCGGATTAGCCACAACTTATATAATTAGTTTTATAATTAGCTCATTTTAGTCCTCCTAATTGATATCTAAAAATTCAATGTGACAGGGACTAAAGTTTAGTCCTAGGATCCAAACACTCCCTAACTATCGACTCCTGCTGGCTGCTCACTTGCACCACCATACCTATGTACCTACACGTATATACTCTAATGCCAGAACGTCTAAGATGGTCATTATTGTCCACCCAATAAAAATATCATAACTTTAAGGTTGTCATTTGTGTATGATGTAGGATTAGGATGCTTTGCACTGATCCATGAGGGTGTCTATGAGAGTCGAAATTTTTTATGCCATTATAATGTCTAAACTTACCAATCAGACACAGACGAACTTGATTGTTAAAATATTTTCAACACTGCTTTCATATACTCCCTCTGTCCTAAAATAAAATTTATTTTCGCTTCCCGAGAAGTCAACTTTTTTTTTACTTCGATCAATTATATATAAAAGAATATTAATATTTATAATACATAATTAGTATCATTACATAGACCATTGAATATATTTTCATAATAAACTTATTTGGAGATATAAATGTTGCACGTATTTTTTACAAACCTAGTCAAAGTTGAGAAAGTTTGACCTGCACGTATTCCATAACGACTTATATTTTAGGGCAGATGAAGTATATGCTAATGAAAGTAGTCAACTGAAAGTTATGATGAACACAACAATACTTTCATATTATATGCTAATGGGAGCACGAAGAAACGCAGGGGAATGGACCTATATACTAATGGTGGAAATATTTGTTTAGGAAATTGTAGAAGGTTCATCAGTCTCACCATATATAACCTGCACATATTTTATTCGGCACCACTGATGTTCTCAAGGAGCAGCCACTTTTTAATTTCAAGTCTGCATGCTGGAAACACTAAAATTAAGGACCAACCTCGTTGAGTCGTCTTGCTTGATCTTTGTCAATTGTCTTGCTTAGCTTTGCGAATAAATTATACCATTGGTAAAGACTAACACATAAAGAGGTAGAAGTTACAATAATAAAGATATGTGGCCTACTATGCACCCGGCCTATATTTAATACCCTCCAAATTATGGACAATACAATATGATCCGGTTTACGTGGAGATGAAAGATATCTGACCGAGCGAGAGAGGGACACCGCATGATTGTTTTCTTCCATGCATGATTATTGTTTCCTTCCATGCATGTGGCCTCAGGTGATCGATTTGTTTCCTTCAAAGCAGACGAGGATCGCAGGGATGACAGTTTCTTTTTCTATCGCACGGTGCATGATCATTGTTTCCTTCCATGCATGTGGCCTCAGGTGATCGATTTGTTTCCTTCAAAGCAGGCGGGGATCGCAGGCGTGGGCAGACGGACGAACCAAAATAAATGTCACACAAAAAAATATCTACACTTTGTTCTTTTTAGTTTTAGGATTGTTTTGTACAGCTAGGGCCTTGGAATGGTAGAATTCTACTAAAATCAGGTCACTTCCGATGAAAAATACAGAAAACAGAAAAACAAAATACCGACCTTAAATCTAAGTCTAAATAGCCACTCGAAATGCACAAAACTTTCAAATACTGACACGTGGCTGGTGAAAACAAAACAAAACACTACCAGCAGTTGCAGTGCTACGATGGGGAGACGTGGCTCTATCCCAGCCGCAGGAGGCTCCCACAAACCACCGACCACCGCTCGGTGCTCGGAAATTTCGCTGCCCGCTCTGCCCTCGCAAACCACCGCAGGCTGCAGTCCCGCACCGCCGCGGCCAGAGCGAGCCGGCCACCTCTCCCTCCCTGGCTCCCCGCTCCGAACGCATGAACCTGGTGATGATTGCAGTCTACATTCCTAGCCCGCCGCCGCCTACTATAACTAGGCCTCCGCCAGCGTGGGGCAGCCCCACACACAGTACACCCCCTCCCCAAGAAGTAGCAGCAGCGGCGAGGGTGAGGGGCAGGACTGCGAGGCGGGCGGGGCGGCGCTCAGGGGCCCTCGCGGAGCTCGAAGAAGCCGCCGCAGGATTTCGCCGCGGAGCTACATTGTGCGGGGGTTCGAGGTGCGTTCTTCTTCTCCACACAATTTTCGGGGGATTCTTTGCCTTGATTCTGCTGTTCCGTTCCGAGGTTTTCGGAGGCGTTGCTGGGAAATTTCTCTGGTTCGTGCGGAACCCGATCGAATTGTCTCTGTGGGTTTGGAATTTTGGTGGTGAGGCGAGCGTTCGTGGATTCCGTGGTTCTGCTTCGACTGCTAATTCCGTTTCTTGCGACCTTGTTTCAGCGATCAAGCCATCGGCATTCGCTGCGCAACCTGCGCGCGACGCGCGTCTGGCTTGTTTGGAAACCTCTGCCCTTTCGGACACGAACAAAGGACTCGAACGATTCCAGGTACAGAATGCAGACCCGAACCGCCCTCAATTCGCAAAACTGCATTAGGTAGACTAAGTCTGTGGTTAGTTTTTGGTTGATTCGCGTATAGCAACTAGCATCGCACTATGGTTTTACTCTCTGATGATTCCTTGCTGTACCTTGGAATGAATTCTGATAAGCAATCTTCGTGAACACTTCACAAGTTGCTGTAAACTTAGTTGCATACTCACTGTCTTTCTGAGGTGACTACTACATTGTAATGATTCATCATGTGGCTCTGCGTGAATTGGTGATTTGTTTTTGTGGTTCTTGGTAGGAGTTGACATTGATAAAAATTCAGAGATTTCGTGCAGGATTTGATTCAGTGGAATACCGTGCCAATGGCACGTTCGAGAAAAAAAAAGGATTTGATTCAGTGGTATCTCTGGGGGTGGTGATGAGTCTTCTTGGTATTATTTGTTCTGCTTAGGCATTAATCTTTTTTGTTGTTATATGTTCCAGTGTCAAGCCCTGGCTGCACTCTGCATCCTGATTGTGGACATTCGTTTGGCTTTCTCTTCTCATTAATCTGATTCTGAGTTCGCAGGTCAATGCAATTATTAAAGCAAGCCATTGCCTTTCCCTTAATATATGATCAAATGACTGTGTGTTTGTGGAAATGCTTAAAAGCTGCGGCAGGCAATTAATTGATTCTATAGCATCAAATTATGTTCTTGCCTTCTTGGTCCCTGATATCTTCAATTCATCTCTGAACTTGCATAGATGATTCAGAAACTGTTGGCAAGTCTGTTACATGATTGTTTTTTTCTAGTCTAGCTACTAGCGTCTCGCTGTGTTCTTAGTCCCTGATACCTTGCAATAAATTCTGATTTCACAATGCCCATGGCCATTTCACAGATTGTTGCAAGTAGTTACTTATGGACGTTTTTGTCTTCCTTGAACACTTCTGACTCAGTGCTTGCACAAATGATCCAAAAAAGCAATAATTAGGAAAGTGTTCTGGTTCATCTTTAAATTTCTTAGTGCTACATTGCATGATTCATCGAGTAGCTCTATGTCAAGTGATCTTGTCTTTCTATTTACTATATTATCTGATCAATGCTAGCTGTGTTTGCAAATGCTTCAAAGAAGCAAGCACTAGTGACTAGTGTGCTTATGTTATTATCTTAATGTTCTGTTTCCTACTTATTTCTGCTATGCATTGATTCAGATATGCCATCCAGAAGGCCTCACAAGCACTGCTGTAAAGTATGCAGCAAGAAATTCCTTTCAGGGAAAGCTCTTGGAGGCCACATGTCGTGCCACCGGCATGCTGGCAAGCAGCCAAAGGGCACACCTAGCCCTCCTGCCATTGTCGTCGATCTGCCTGTGTTGCTGCTGGGTCCCAGTGATGAGAAGCCTTCACCGTCATCTTTGGAATCTCAATGCCTGCACTGCTCAAAGGTGTTCTCTTCCTGCCAATCTCCTAGGGGGAACATGGGGATGCACAGTGAGAAGAAGGTGATGACCAAGCCTGATGAAGAACCTGAACCAGCTGGGTTGATGGAAGCTTGGGCCAATGCTAATGGTGATCACGGGCACAATGTGATGCTATTTTCTCCAGTGAAGCGTAAGCGATCAAAGAGGGGGATGCCAGTCCTCAATTCAGAGATGAACGCTGCAGCTGCTCTCTTGATGCTTGCAGAGCATTCTGACAAGACTTCTGCTTATGAGGATTGCTGTGGGGGAGATAAGGATGACAACATTTCAACACCCATGGTGTTGAAGGAGGTAAATCTGAATGCTTTTCAGCAGCTGGATCAATCTGATGAGTTCACAAACAGCGCGAGGCTGAAATCTGACAAGAATCCAGCTTATGAGGGTTTCTATGAACACTGTGAGAAGGAAAACAGTTTGAATTTGGTCGCTGATGCTCCCAAGAAGGAAGTGCTGCTGGATCTGTTTGATTATGAGATGGATGTAGAAGCTGAGTTCATGAAGCCAGGGGCTGACGTTTCAGTCGAGGATTTGAAGTCCAGTTTGAATTTGGTTGCTGATGCTCCCCAGAAGGAAGTGCTGCTGAATGTGTTTGATCATGGGATGGATGTAGATGCTGAGTTCATGAAGCCAGGGGCTGACATTTCAGTTGAGGAGTTGAAGTCCAGTGACCTTTCAGCTGCAATGAACAGCAAGAGGCACCAGTGCAAGGTCTGTGGAAAGTTATTGAGGTCAGGGCAGGCATTGGGAGGCCACATGACATTACACTTACACTTTGAGAAGAAAAACAAGTTGAGTTTGGTTGCTGATGTTCCAAAGGAGGTTTTTTTGAATGCATTTGATAATGAGGTTAACGCAGATGTTGAGTTCATGACGCCAGGGGGCTGCATTTTCAGTGGAGTTGGAATCAAGTGACATTTCAGCTGCAGTGAACGTCAAGAAATACCAGTGCAAGGTCTGTGGAAAGTTACTAGGGTCAGGGCGTGCTTTAGAAGGACACATGAGGTTACACTATGTTCGGAAATGCAATCTTCACCAAGAGGTTGCTGATTGTCCTGATTCTGTTATGATGGAAGAGCAAATGCAGAAGCTTGAATTGGACTCTCCCATTTTTTATCGACGGAGACCACATTCACATGGTCGAAAATCTGATTCTGAGCCATAGTGTGTGCTGAGCATCCTTCAGCAGGCTGTGTGGGCCTGTGGCCAAAGCTGGTTCCACATGTTGTCCAAAACAGATACCTATTCAGTTAGTGATAGGTTCATTAGTAGTTAGGAAACTAAAGAATTCCATCTGCTGTAGATAGTAGAGATTTTGATACTGATACTTTCTTCTCTTGGTCAACAAATTTTGCTGGATAGGAAGGCAAGGATCTTAAGCCCATGTTTAGTTCCAACTTAAAATCCTAAAAAGTGCTACAGTAGCCATCACATCGAATGTTTGCGACCCGTGCATGGAGCATTAAATGTAGATGAAAAAAAAGACTAATTGCACAGTTTGGTGGGAAATTACGAGACGAACGTTTTAAACTTAATTAGTCTATATTTGAACACTAATTATTAAATAAAAATAAAAATGTTACAGTAGCCCAAAATTCCAACTTCGTGAAACTAAACACGGGGAAGTCACTGCCTAGTTGCGGAACAGTGTAGCAGGTAATGCGTGGTAGCATGCAGTGTAATGCAATTCAATGCATGAGCTTGGGATAGGTCTGAAGCTCCCTGACAGTTGTCCTTGGCTGTACATTGATATTCTTCTGTACATACCTATACAGAGCATATTCTTGTCTTGAAATGATAGCTCAATAAAAAGATCTAGATGAGAATTTGTACAATCTAGCTGTCTTTTAGATTGCAAATGGGGCCTTTTTTTTTTTTTGCAATCTGAACATTGTAGCACGTTTCGTTTGTATTTGACAAACTTTGTTCGATCATGAACTAACTAGGCTCAAAAGATTTGTCTCGTGATTTACAACCAAACTGTATAATTAGTTATTTTTTTTACCTACATTTAATGTTCCATGCATGTGTCCAAAAATTAATGTGATGAAGAGAGAGTAGAAAAACTTAGAACTTTGAAGCAATCTAAACAAGGCCCCATTCGCCTTTTGGACTAGGCAACATTCAGTGCTTTTTGAGTGTTATGCTTGTGTTTGTCTCTTCCATTCTGGTTGTTCCGCACTCTGCTTGTGAGTTGTTCTTGACCTGGGTGTGACTAATGAAATTTGAATCTGACGATCCTAGTTACCCATGGTGTGCGACAAGCAGCCTTCAGCAGGTAAAACTGGTTCCGGGTGTATCCTGGCAGTCTGACAGACTGAGAGGTACATTTGATTTAGTTCATCAGTTATAGTATGCTCTCCTAAAAAAAAAAAAAAAAGTCTACTTAACCCCACCTTTTATACATGGTCTACTTCACCTCCAACTATGAAATCGTCTGTTTTATCCCCTGAATTTTCCAAAACCGTCTGTTTTACCCCCGGACGTTTTTTTGACAGCGGGTTGCTACAGTAGTAGCAGTGGGTTTGCTACAGTGCCGGTGGTTTGAATTTCCTTTTTTTATTATTTATTTTCGGTGGATTTTTGAAAAATCATAGTAAAATCACAAAATGAAAAATCTAATTTTATTGGACTCCACATGAGTAGATCTACACAGTGAATATATAATACGGTATGCTTTAGTACAAATTTTTTACTGTAGCATTAGATTAATTGGAAAATCTAATTTTGCTGTAATTAATTGAAATAATTCATAGCTGCAGCTTCTATGGTCCAATTGTGGTGAAATTTTTATGGTACGCTAATTATTGTATGCTTGAACTATAGTAAAAATTTCGTACTCATTGGACTATGTATAACTTAGTTATAGATAAATTCTAATTAATTACAGAAAAAATTGGATTTTCCAATTAATCTAAAGCTACAAAAAAAAATTGTACTAAAGCATACCGTATTATATATTCACTGTGTAGATCTACTCATGTGGAGTCCAATAAAATTAGATTTTTCATTTTATGATTTTTCTATGATTTTTTTAAAAATTCACCGAAAATAAATAAAAAAAGGAAATTCAAACCCGCTGGCACGGTAGCAAAACCGCTGTCAAAAACCGCCCGGGGGTAAAATAGACGGTTTTGAAAAGTTCAAGGTGTAAAACAGACGGTTTCATAGTTGGGGGTGAAGTAGACCATATATGAAAAAGAGGGTTAAGTAGATTTTTTCCTAAAAAAAAATCAGTTATAGTATGCAGATGCAGATGCAGTATGCTAATCAGCTAGAAAGCCAAAAAGTAATTACTCCAAAAGAACTCCTGTGTTTAGTTCGTGAATTTTGGGAATTTGGCTTCGGTAGCACTTTCGTTTTTATTTGATAATTAGTGTTCAATCATGGACTAATTAGGTTCAAAATGTTCGTCTCGCAATTTCCAACCAAACTGTGCAATTAGTTTTTTTTCGTCTACATTTAATGCTCCATGCACATATCACAAGATTTAATGTGATGGCTACTGTAGCACTTTTTATGAAACTTTTTGAACTAAACAAGCACTTGTATGGCAGCTTTCTTGATAATTGATGTTGACAATTTTGGCCAAGAAAGTACTACTTTGGACAGGGAAGGCCAGTGTCAAAAGTCACTGCTTGGGAAGAGCAGGGTTACGTCAGTTCCTTGCTGCAGAATAGTGCCCTCAGTTCTGCTCAGTTGCATTCACTCGTTTTAGTACTAGCGTTCGGAAGCTCTCAACAAATTTTGCTGTGGTTGTACTTGTACATTATACATTCTGTAAATACTACTAGTAGGCAGAGCATATATAGCGAATGGGGCCTGTGCAACCTTCCTTTCTATCCTGTTCAGTTCTGTTTCGTTGCCGTGGTAGCATGGCAGATGATAGAGCTTTTCTGATTGTTTTTACTTCGGTTGCTGTTTTCATTTCGCTGAATGTGGGCCGGCATCCACCAGTTCATACGAGTTGGCTGTAGATGGCGGCCCACATGACTGTCAAATGATGCTTCCTTTTTTAGTTCATCTCAGCTCAGGTCATGCCGTCATGGGCCCAGGAATCTCATATTTTATTTGTATAGACACTATCATACTAGTAGGTACAATAACATTTGTATCCAACTTTAGATCTCTTTTATTTAAAAAAAAAACTGTACATGGGATACAACATGTGGGGCCATCATGTAGCTTGCCCATGCCCACGTCTATGGCCTACTTGTAGAGGGGGTGGCATTGTTATAAGGAACTGTTGCTCCCTGATTGAATCATACCGAAATCTCTTCAGTATTTTAGCTGAAAAAAAGAGAAAATAAGTTCTCAGGCTAAGCTAAGGCCTTGTTTAGTTGGCGAAATTTTTTAGAAAATAGTATTGTAGCACTTTCGTTGTTATTTGGCAATTAGTGTCCAATCATAGTCTAATTAGGCTTAAAAGATTCGTCTCGTGAATTTCGTCTAAACTGTGTAATTAGTTTTATTTTTTATTTATATTTAATGCTTCATGCATGCGTCCAAAGATTCGATGTGATGGAAAATCTTGAAAAATTTTGCAAAATTTTAGAAACTAAACAGGCTCTAAGGTGAAAACGGGTGGATAGTGTTGCGGCATGGATCGTATGGTATGTACCAGTTTTGCACGAGACGGGCATGATCGCAGCCAAACTGAACCCAAAAAATAAAGTTAGGCCTTCGAAGAAGAAAAAAACCGAAACTATTATGCGTATGCACAAGAATGGGATCACCTGCTCTCCTTCGCCTGCCTCAGGCATCTCAGTAGAGACTCCGACCCTACAAAGGAGAGTAAATATATGCCAAGGAGTACAGAAACATAAATAATTCCCCAAGAGAGCTGAGGTGTTTGGACCCGGCTACTATAAATTAGGAGACGTGTCGGGAGAATGTTGTATGGGGTGTTCGGATACTAATAAAAAAATAAATTACATAATCCGTCAGTACTTCACGAGACGAATTTTTTAAGCATAATTAATCCGTCATTAGAGCATGTTTACTGTAGCAAAATATTGTCAAATCATGGACTAATTAGGCTTAAAAGATTCGTTTAGCAAATTAGTCACAAACTATGCAATTAGTTTCATAATTAGTCTATATTTAATACTCCATATATGTGTCCAAACATTCGGTGGGACAGCAACTAAAATTTAGGAGAGGCACCCAAACACCCCCGAAGCAACCACAAAAGATGCTTTAACATAGTTCTATTAACTGCAACAATACAAAATAGAAAAATACAGGAAAAGTGCAAGAATGAGGTTAAGGGAACAGGTTTGGTGCATGCACACATTGTCCCAATGTTTGTATGTCCATAAAATATACAGTTAACACATTTACATCAGTAGACTGAAAGTCATGTGCCCTCTACCAAAAATTATCAGAAAACCATGGGAAGCCATCAGGTTCAGGCACTCAGGCCATGTTTGGGTGGTGATGTTGCCACCACATATCCGACTTGGGACACCTGGCGCTAGGTTCAACTACCTGGCTAGGCAGTGCCCGGGAGACTATGATCCAAACATGCCATCAGTATCAGTTTTGAATGTGCTTATCAATGTTATTCTTGGTAACCAGGCCAAAAGGACTTGTGAAGGCAGAGGGGACCTCACTAATATATCCAGGTAAACAATAGCAGGCAGGAACATATATATGTACTAACTGAAGTTCTGAAAAGATAGCATTGCAAAAGCTATGATAATAGTGCATATATCTGGAAATTGGCTTGTTTCAGCTGTTCAGCATCTTCAAATTAACTCTTTGTGATATGAACTGTGGTTAGGTTTCAGTTTGTGGCTGTGCAACATGTGAACTTTGGTTAGGTTTCAGTTTCATGGGATCTGAATTTTTGTAGGAGGGCTGAGCAAAGTATTTTCAATGTCAATGCTGGTAGGAAGGTGTAAGGAGCTTGTGATGTGGAGGCGGTGGACGTCACAGTCTATTGGAATTAGAGACATCAGGCACGAAGATATTGGCAATTTGATTTGACAGGCAAGGTATGTAGCATCGTGCAATAGTAGATATGTAAATACATATTTACTGTACTAAATTGGCTTGTATAAGGTGTGCATCTTCAAACTAAACACATTCGCCCTTTATCAAGATTGTGACTGCGTCTGTGCACAAGTCTAGAATTTTCCATCTTTAATTTTAAAGTCAAGATCGTGACTATGCAGGATGTGAACTCTGGTGTTGGCACAAGGGGAATCAAATCAGCAACAAGGTAACGAGGAGCTGTAAGAGAAAGATGCTTACGACTGCTTGAGGGATCGTACTGCCATACATGGACGAAGTGGGATGAGCGCATGAGCAACTCGTTTGGCGAGTCAGGCATTGCAAAGTTACTGCATTCCACAACCTTCCTCTGCTGCAGGTCCACGGCAAAGATGCAGGAGCCGAGGAAGAAGAAGAGCTTGTCAGGGTCTTCCGGGTGGAGCAGCGCAAGCGCAGGGACGCTCCCCGGCAACATGATGTCCAGGTAGCTCTCGTCGGCCCAGACGTCGGCCAAGGCCACGTGGCGCTCGGGATTCCATTTCCCCGACGACTAGACGAGCGCCCACGTGCTCACCACCGGCGCGTCGGGGCTGCCATGGATCTGCACGAACCTCAGCATCCCGCCGCTCACCCTCACGCAGCGGTGAGCGCCGCCGTTTGCAGAAAGCACCGGCAGCTGGTCGCCGACTGACGGGAGCGGGACGTGGAGCAGCTCCGGCGTGTCGGCGAAGGGGTCGCAGGAGAGGAGGCCGTACGAGAGGTCCACCCACGAGAGCATCCCGCCGTGGGAGATGACGCCCTCGCCGCGCCACTCCCGGTGCAGCGGGGGCAAGTAGGCGAGCTCCTTCTCGACCCACCTGTACTGCCCCACCGTGTAGGAGAGGAGCAAAGCGCCACCAGTGCCGTCGCCGGCGGGCTGGAGCTCGGTGACCACGCAGCTGCCGCCCCTCACCATGAGGCCTAACTTGTTGCCGTGGATGCCCACGGTGCGATTGTGCTCGTGGAGGCAGGTGTCCTCGCCGGTGCGCGCGTCGCAGAGGTGGTAGGTGACCCAGGAGTTGGTGCCCTCAGGCTCCGTGGCACAGAGGAGAATGAGGCCGGAGGAGTCCGCGGCGGCGACGTAGGGGTAGCTGCAGAGGGAGGACGGGGAGGAGACGCGGTAAGGCACGGTGAGGACGGATGCGCGCGGGGGCTCGGCGTAGGCGACGGAGACGTCGGCGCCCGGCGGGAAGGTGCGCTTCGCCTTCTTGTCCTTCACGACGTTAGCGATTCCGGCCAGGATGAACCACTGCTCCTGCAGCGGCGGCGTCATGGCAGGATCGGGCAAGAGGAATTCGATGGATTAGGAGATGGAAAGCGCTGTAGCGGCGGCCTTGCGGGGGATCCGGGGAAAAGGGAGGGGAAAGAGGCAAATCGTGTCTTCGGTTATTTTCGTGTACATTGTTCAGTTTGTTACCTGAAATTTGATCTATAGGTATAAGTTGAGATTTAATCACAATCCAGAAAAATCTAAATTTTGTTATTTTCGTATAAATTTGTACAAAACGAGTTTGCATGTCAACTTTTTGTAAATAGATGTACCATAGGTGTATCATTTTATTTCTTTCATTCACTATAAAAACCCATAAATATATTTTTCTAGCGAGTCTTCACGTCTCTTCAGTCTACTTAAGATATGGTTTGCAATAAATATTTTTCGAGTCCATAAATGTAAAACTTCCAAACTAATCTCATCTCTAAAGTACACCTGGACCCACTCGAGTATTAAACCCAAATACACGATACACATGAGCTGCAGGTTCCATGCACCCTACCTCTTTTTAGTGACCTATTTTCACAACACAGCGATACCTCTTAGCGCTAGACAACGCAGCAGCCTCCATCGACCACCGTCTTCCACCACGAGTACTTATGATGGTCATCTAGTACCATCACGTCTTCTTGCATTGCCAGTGTCACCACCCTCCCCTTCACTACATCCAACCCAAAAGGCCTCCTATTCCACCTCGGCCCCTCTCCTCTACTCATTTTGTTTGGTCACCACGCCGCCCACTGTCTTCTTTATGTACCTATATATACCGGATATCTATTTAGCATGAGACCCTAACCTCATTGAAACTAGTTAGCAGTAAGATGTCGTCTCAAAGAGACCTCTCGTTTTTTCCAAACACCATTGAGGGGAAAACCTAACTCTGGTTATCTGGAGCCGGTGGTGGCGGCATGATCGACATCGCGTCCTTAAGGGCGCCACCATTGAGGGGCCAGCTCAAACCTACCACAACTTCTTTCTTGCAGGGTCCTCCTTGCACTCCCTCTACTAGGGCACAAGCTATTGCTGGATGGTGTCTGCTGCCGGTGTCCTAGCGCTTACATCCTCTAGGTTCCTTGATTGCATCCTCTCACTATATACTAGGTTAGAGAGACCATGGCTCCCTCTCTTGGATCTCCTCGTTCTCCAATCATCAGTCCTCCCTCCATGGAGGTTTCCTCCCCTCTAGGGGTGTTGGCGGGTGGTGATTGCATCCCGGATGTGCTCCATAGCGATGTATATCACCGGCTGTCAGCTGTCAACCTCGACTCAATGCCCAATAGTCACATGTGGAGTGGAGATCTCTGGAGCATCGCCACTTAGTGGCCCACTTTTTAGCATCCAACGTCATGCCTCTACAGCGGGAGTCTATGTCTCAACTTTTGTAGCGTTGTGTAGCATTGTGGTTCCTCCTCTTGTGTTGTTTGTGAGTGCTCCATTGATGTAGTTGGTATTGTTTTGTGTTCTTCTCTCACCCTCTCGTTGGTACCTCTGGGCTCATGACCCCAACCTTGTACTGGGTGCCTGGCGCCTTCCATTACCGGCGTAGCTGAAATTAGTAGAAAAATTTTCAGGTGCAGACTATCTTCCCCACGGTGAATTCTTAAAACAAACAAATTTATACAAAAATGTACTATTATTTATGATGTATAATAACAGGGGCGAAGAAGCTACGTGGACTCATCGGGGTCGGCCGACCCTGACGGTTCTTCGGTCGCTCTTTATACCAAGGATTTGTTTACCCACATAGACCCCAGTAAAAAATATATTAGACCCCGTTAGATTGGCAGCCCAGCAGGCTCCTACAGCACCAAAAGTCCATCTCCTCATCTCCCCAACCCATTAGTGATCAATCGATCCATTCGCATCAGCAGCCTAGAAGGCCATACGTGCATACTTTCCTTGCCCTTTCCTCCGGCCGCCGCTACAGGCTGTCGCTGGTCGCCCTTCCGACTTCGTGATTCTCATCTTCTCTAACAGCGCAAATCCTCCTAGCGGTGATTGCAGATTGGGTGCCTGGCCGGCCGCCGGATGGAATATGAGTGACGACTTTGCCGGTGGCCTCTAGAGAGAAGTTCTCTACTTATCTCCTTTCTCTCAAGCACCTGAACGAGCTGAGGTAAGTTTTGATACCCAATCTTCATCAATTGGTAGTTGACGATCAAGTATGAAACGTGAAGTCTTAGGGTTTTATTTTTTCAGCTCAATTAGTACATTGTGTTGCTTCTTCAGTAGCAGTAAAGAACGTACTCTTTTATTCAAGCAGGATGCCAGGTATCTAGAAGACTTTTAACAATATAGGCATGGCCGTGCATTAGTATCCATCAGCTTTAATTTAGTATACTATTTGTCTATGTGGCTAATTTGATAGGCAATCACATCTTGCTAGGTTGATGGTTGGTAAAAAAAAACATCTAGTTTTTCCTTTAGTCTATCGGTTTGTCAAGCTAGTACTAGTTCTTCCTATCACCACACACCACTCCATTGGCCAAGAGTGTTTTCAGCGATGAAAACGGTGAAGACTATACTAAGAAATTGACAAATTTATGAATGATTGTATTATATATGCTTCGTAGAACCCGTATTCCTAGCCACAGTTCCAATTAACGTCGTGATAGTTTACTTTCACAAGATCATCATAGCCGTAGAGACAAACCTTATCAATTTGGTATAGCATAATATTATATTATCATAACCTATGAATTAGCACTTAGTAGCGTGAGTATTGACCCCGGTGATGATTTATCCAGGCTTCGCCCCTTAGATTGAGTATTGAGTATATTTTTATAATAAATTTATTTGATATACAACTGTTGATAATATTTTCGATATTCCTAATCAAATTTTTTTTAAAAATATGATTCCTCGAGAAGCGAGACGTGTGTTTATTTCAGGACGGAAGGAGTAAGACCATGTTTAGTTCCATGTGCCATGGCAAAAGATTAGCCCCTAAACTTTTGCTGCTAAACTTTAGTCTTGCTTGAGGTGTTTAGATCCATAGCAAAAGTTTAGGTTAAAAGTGCAAAATGAGGTGTCCTTCACACCTCCAATGCTTTTAGCTCAATTTTGCACCTCTTGAGGTGCAAATGGTAAAACTTTAGCCCCACCCCTATTTTTGCTCACTTTTAGTCCACCTGTTTAGATCCATTTGCCCAAAATATGAGCTAAAAGTGCTAGGCAAAATTTTTGTCAAAGGAAGTAAACAGCCCCTAAATCTGCGGTAACATGTCATGCCTGGGTGGCTTCTACCACATAGTATTTAACACAAAGAACGTTAACGCGCGCGCAGCTCTTGTGGGGTACACACCTTATCCAATCTATACACACACGGAGAGTTGCGAACTCAAATGAGAAATAAAGAAAAACGCCAAAAGAGATCCTTGTACAGTACGTAGAAAGACACGTCGAAAGTCTTGTCAAATGTAAGCTCTGGTAAATCAATTCATCCATCCCCATTGAAGAGAGTTGTTGCTGAATTTGCGCCATGCATAAATCGTGCAAGATGTGAATGCTGAAAAGAGGACAGATACTAGCACCACGATGAGTACTTTCGGGTATGGGTGCTCGGCTACCATAAGGAACACTCCAGTCGTTAGTTGCGGCAGCACGACAGCAATACAAACCAAGGATGTCCCCTACAATAATATAAGGTTATTAGAACCTAAGTAATAATATTATACTCCCTCCGATCCATTTTATTTGACGTAAGTTAGAATAACACGGTCTTCTAGATTACACTTTGACCATTTATTTGCTTTATATTATATTATTTATGCTTATAAACTTATAATAATTAGATAGTATAATTCCTTACAAACCTAATCATATAAAGTTTGTATTATAATAGCTAAAAATTATTAGTCTAATCATTGGTTAAAGTTTTTAAAGTTTGAATCTTAATACGCGTGTGCGCCAGATAAAATGGACCGGAGGGAGTATAAACTTAGGAGTAGATTCTTGGAGATGGTTACGTACTATGTATGTATATATGAATGAATATAAAAGATAGTAGTGTATGCTATCTGATAGATTACTTACCACATCTGATGAGGATGGCTCCTCCAAGGGAGCATCTGCTGCTTGTCTTGGGGATACAGATACGTTGAGATTCACATTTACGCTAGCCGCTGGTTGCGGGAATAATGCATCGGGATAACCCACGTAATTTACTAGGGTTGCACCTGCGGCTCTTGATTCATCTGAGCTCGGCGACGTTGTGCAGACCTTCTTCATCTCTTGATACTGATACACATCGTCGAAGTACGCTCCCATACCGCGGTGGTACCAGTAGTAGTGACCCACCAGCAGCACCTCGCTAGCAAACGCAGGCGGCGGTGGCCAAAGGAAGGGGAAGCCTCGCTGGCCGCTAGCTCTGTTAGCCTTGGTGACGACGACGGTGGAGCAGTACGTGTGACCGACAGATGCAGCATCGGAGGTCGTTGTGGAAGAAGCGGATGCTGGCTGCGCAGCGGACGCAGACCTCCCGGCCGGTGGCCGCACGGGTACACCGCCACCCATTCCATGGGCTGATGGGCTCCATGCACACCACGCAGATGGGTTCTTCTCTTCTTCTTCAGCTTCGATGTCGATGACGACATGCGCCATGTTAGCTTCTTATATTACACAATCGAATAATCGATCGATGGATCCACCACGCCGTTTAGCTGGTGCACAGCACAGAACGCGGAGATGTCGAGATATGATGTGATTCGTTCCAGCCAGGGTGCCCACACGCGTACACATACATATATAAGCGATCGATCATTTGGTGCTCCGCGCCTCCGTGGTGGGTGGGTACGTGGGGGAGTGCAAGCGGATTATATATTCTTTGTATATACTCCCTCTCTCCCTAAATGTTGGTCGCCATGATTTATTTGTCGATAACTTTGACTCGATTTATAAAAAATACGTGTAATATTTTTATTTTTAAATAAATTTATTAAAAAACTAAATTCAAATATCTATCAATAATACTAATTATGTACCATAAATATTAATATTTTTAATATATATTTAGTCAAAATTATTTCTCGGAAAACGAAACGAAGAGAGAGAGAGAGGGAGAGAGAGAGAGAGGGGGAGTAGTCGGACACGGACTCGCATGCCGGCGCTGCCTTCCGCACGTTTAGCATATCGATCTGGGCCGTTGGGGGCGAAGGCATATTGTGTGTTATGGACTTATGGGTGCAGATGTACCACCTGATTTTTTTTTCACCTTATAATACTCAGGTTTTGGCCCTATATGCACCCACAGCCCAGCAGCCCAGCTAACGTGGATCAAGGAAGCCAGGAAAGATTTTGATTGTCTCGTAATTTCTAGCTTCGTCACTTGGTTTTCCGTCGCGGCTAGCATTCACGACTCCGCGCCGTTTCGTCTCGCTTCCCTCATCCCTCTCCCTCACGCATCACGCATCCAGCAGGAGCCGGCAAGCTCCGTGAATCCGATCCGAGCGGACAGCGGAGCACAGGCGAGAGGCGACCACAGCGGCTCCCCAATCCCCATCACCATCACGGCTGCACGGCATCACCCAACAAGCAAGAACAATATTTGAAGGTAAGATTAGATGCCGTTTCATGTTTTCTTTTTCTCTTTCGCAAATTAATCTGATTTTCATATACAATTAGAGCTCGAACTGTGTCCCATCGTTAGGCTATTTAGGTTGCAGACATGCAATAGTGCAGTACATATTTACGCTCCTTTTATATGTGTTAATGGCAGGCTAATTGATGGAACGACTTTACAAAAGGAAAGTGAGTCCTTTGTATCCGTGTCCTGGCCTTTCTTATGATCTTTCCTCTTAATGAAAAACAGGTAAAAGACCTGGTCGTAAAAAAAGAAAGAAAGCACGAGCCTGGTAGTACCAATAATCTCTAGAATTCTTATTTGGATGATATCAATTGGGAGGAGGAGATTAAATATGATCTAGGATTAAGAAAACAAATTGATGATTACCATCCTAATCTCAGAGAGAGTGTGAGAAGGAAGTACTTAGAGAATAGGCCTTGCCAACCTCGTACACTTGATTTTTCCTGTGACATATATTGGAGGAGCTTTGAGAAAGTTTGTTCCAGAATGGTTTGATGAGTTTGATTGGCTTGAATACAGTGAGTCCAAACATAGAGCATATTGTTTTTGTTGTTTCTTATGTGAAAGATGATGATAGGTTCTCTAACCTACAAACTATTGCTGAGCTTTCTCAAAGAATGGTGGAGACTAGAAAACACGAACGACATCCATTAGTTTATCGACTCATGAGGCTTGTACTAGTGTTGCCGGTTGCAACTGCTACAGTTGAGAGGATTTTCTTCGGCATGAAGATTGTGAAGACAAATTTGCGCAATCGCATTGGTGATGAATTTATGAATAATTGCCTTATTTGTTATGTGGAGAAAGAAGAGATGACGAATGGTTCGTCGCTTCATGAAAATACAAGGATGTAGATTTCAAGATGAAGATTAAAAGTAACTGATTATATTTATTTTCATTTGTTCATTATTTGGTTCAAAAAATGAGATTTGAACCATAAGTCATTCGTTTTCTTTTTTTAGGCCATCAAATTGTCGAAGATGTTCAGGATTTGAAGTTAAACGATGTATTTAGCCTATGTTGACGTTTTTGACCATCCTAGTGTAATTTATTTTTGGTAAACCTCTTAATCACTTATTTGTAGTTGCACCATCCTTTATTTTGCTCTAGCTTGGTCACTGGGCGGGCCATAAACCCAAATACACAATACACACGAGCTACAGGCTCCGTGCACCCTACCTTTCTCTAGTGACCTATTTTCACAACACAGCGATACCTCTTAGTGAAAGACAACGCAACAGCCTCCATCGACCATTGTCTTCCACCACGAGTACCGATGATGGCCATCCAGTACCATCTTCTCTTCTTGCATTGCCAGTGTCGCCGTCCTCCCCACCACTACATCCAACCCAATAGGCCTTCCATTCCACCCCGACCCCTCTCCTCTACTCAGTTTGTTTGGTCGCCGCACCGCCCACTGTCTTCTTTATGTACCTGTATATATCGGATATCTGTTCAGCATGAGGCCCTAACCTCGTTGAAACTAGCTAGTAGTGAGATGTTGTCTTGAAAAGAACACTCGTTTTTGCGATCTCAATGTGATCCAAGGCGAGCAAATTGAACCTAAAAAATATCTAATATTAGGATTTTTTTTTTAAAACACCATGTATATAACCGTTTGTAGCACAGAACCACATATTATATGTTCTTTTGCACAAAGCCACATGTTTATGCGCATAGCAACCCAAAAAAACATAATGTTTTAGCAAAACTTCAATGCAAATGATCACATATCAGACGCCGAAATGGCTTGAAGTCCAAGTGTTGAATGGATGGCCTACTAGTTGCACGACTCCATCCCCTTCGACTTCGTAGTTCTTTATCTAGCTAGCTAGGGTCAAGCTAGTGGCTTGTTGTGGTCTGCGGAGACTTGCGGTGCTGGAGTATGCATGAAGAGCACTCAGTTTGTGAGGAAACGGTGCAGCTTCCTGATTAGGCTAATTTGGAGACTTACGAAAACCTATGGTTTGGATGAATTAAGTGAGAGCTCATTCGGTCGCACTTTAATTCACCTCAGTCCATATGCATTGGACTAAAAAAATATCAGTTTTCACCCCAATTAACCCTAATACATGATGGACTATAGTATATTAGACTTAAACAAGACTTGAAATTAATTGTTGTAAAAGATTACTTGACCAAAATTCATGTCTTTCTATTAGTTTGTTCTGCTAATTTGAGGCCTGTTTCAATTAATCTTGATGTTGTATATTTTGTTTCGGAGCAGGTGATTTACTCATTTAACTGAATTATACTATGTGAATCAATGATCATGGTAGTCTACCATCCATGTACTAAGCCCTTGTTTAGTTCGCGAAATTTGGATTTTGGGGCTACTGTAGCACCTTCGTTTTTATTTGGCAAATAGTGTTCAAACATGGACTAATTAGGCTCGAAACGTTCGTCTCGCAATTTCCCACCAAACTGTGCAATTAGTTTTTCTTTTCGTCTACATTTAATGCTCCATGCACAGGCCGTAAATATTCGATGTGACAGATACTGTAGCAACTTTTTGGAATTTGAGGTGAATCTAAACAAGGCATAATAATCTCTACACTCGCAAGCATGTCTGTTACCTTTTTTCGTGACCGTATATTTATCAACGATTTTTGTACTTTAATACTGCATTCACATTGCATTGACTTCACAATTAACACCACTTCAACATCCTGTAGTCCTCCATCTATCTGACTTGGGAGCTCGGAGCCATCTCAGGAGCTACAACTTTTATATAAAAAGTATCTTTATTTGGAACTCTAAAAAATGATATGATTTTTCCAAGACGACAAGAGTTGTACGTGATTAATATACTGCTGAAATTTTATATTATTTCTTTCTTAATGACCTCAAATGAAAAAAAATTCGAAACTATAAAGTTGTATATCTCATCGAGAGCTACAACCTTCATATAGAAAGTATCTCTATTTGACACCATACAATAAATATATGATTTTTCCAAGACGACAAGCACTTGTACGCGATTAATATACTGCAGAAAATTTGTTTATTTTTTTAGCATATTAACGACCTCAAATTAAAAAACTCAAAACCAAAAAATTGTAGATTCCATCGAGAGCTACAATTTCCATATAAACATCATCTTTATCTGAGAACGTATGAAAAATATACGATTTTCTAAGGTTGCGCTTGCTGTGCCAGTCTGGTTGGCATGGCGCTACATTGATGCCGCACAAACGGGAGTGGCGCAACAAGCTTTTCCACGTGAAAATCGTAGTCCACCATGGCAGATCGTGCCGCGCGGATTCATGTGGTGCGGCAACGTGTTTTGGCCACGCTAATGACTTAGGCACGGCCAAACAGGTCAGATTCGGAAATAAAAAAGCAACGGTGTTAATTTTGAAAATTGTTTTCGAAAAAGGTTAAAAATAAAAAAGAAATTCTCCCTCATCGCGTCGCACCCCATCGCCGGCCGCGCTATGCCCATCCCCTACCGTGCCCCACTCCACCTCGCCCGTCGTGACCGCTGCGTCACCGGGCCACCACCAACCTGACGCCACCAAAAGGAGGTCATCGCCGGCCAAGACATCGTCTCCTGCGGGCAGGCGAAGACACCATGGTAGGAAGGAAAGTCTTGCAGTGGAGGTGTACGCTGGGCCGTTGTTCTTGATGTCCTCGTGAACCGAGCTTGCTGGCTATCGCAATTTGCCACCAGGTAGGCCAAGGCTGTCGGCGACGCTATGCTTAAGTGTTTCAGGTGTTTTCAGACATGTTGCAAGTTCATGTTTCAAGTGTTTTAGTTGTTTCAGATGTATGTTTCAAATGTTTCATACGGATGGTACAAAAGTAGATCAGGATGTTGCATGTGTTTCAATGGTTGTACACATATGTTGCAAATGTATGTTCCCAATATTTCATCTGTTTTTCAGACGTATGTTGCAAATATGTTTATCTGGATGTTGCATATGTTTCACACATATGTTGCAAGTGTTTTATCTGGATGTTGCGTGTGTTTGCAATATTTTTCAAGTGTTTTTGCAAGTGTTTCGAATGTATGTTG